TATGTTCCTTAGAGGCCAGTTTCCTTCTCCCCAGCACCCTCCAGGAGTATTCACACACAACCAACTTGCCCACCTCTTGCACTCTTGTCAGATTTAGCCAGATTGCCCGAACTCAGGTACAGGAATTTAGGCCGGACATGGCGGCTCACGACTGTAATCCCAGCACTTTGAGAGGGCGAGGCGGGTGGATCACGAGATTAAGAGATTGAGACCATCCTGGCCAACGTGGGGAAACCCTGTCTCTACTAAAAAAAAAAAAAATACAAAAATTAGCTGGGTGTGGTGTGAGTGCCTGTAGTCCCAGCTGCTTGGGAGGCTGAGGCAGGAGAATCATTTGAGCCCAGGAGGCAGAGGTTGCAGTGAGCCAAGATCGGGCCACTGTACTCCAGCTTGGCGACAGAGACTCTAGTTTAAAAAAAAAAAAAAAAAAAAAAAAAAAAAAAAAAAAAAATTAGCTGGGCGAGGTGGCTCAAACCTGTAATCCCAGCACTTTGGGAGGCTGAGGCGGGTGGATCACGAGGTCAAGAGATCGAGACCATCCTGGTCAACAAGGTGAAACCCCATCTCTACTAAAAGTACAAAAAATTAGCTGGGCATGGTGGCGCGTGCCTGTAATCCCAGCTACTCAGGAGGCTGAGGCAGGAGAATTGCCTGAACCCAGGAGGCGGAGGTTGCGGTGAGCCCAGATCGCGCCATTGCACTCCAGCCTGGGTAACAAGAGCGAAAATCCGTCTCAAAAAAAAAAAAAAAAAAAAAAAAAAAAAAAAAAAAAAAAAAAAATTAAGAAAAAAAAGTGGTTGCAGGAGATGTTTTACTACTGATCAAAATCTTTGCGAGTACTTTAGCTGACACCAATCAAGGCAAAGCTTGCCCAATGTCCTCCTATCCTTTCAGCATTGAGCAATTATTTTTACTGATTTACACTACCACCTCACCTGGTCCTCAGTCACAAACAGAGCGCACACACCCCATTGTGTCTGGAGAGAGAGGGAGTGAGAGAGCGCAGGCGGGGACTGCAACCTCAGGCCACAGCCTTTGCACAGGTGAGGGAACTAAGCCCGTGTAGGATGGGAGACTGGGGTGGGAGGACTGGTGCAAAGCGCCACGATCCTTGACAGGCACAGCCAGAAGCTGCACCTGGCCGAGAACGCCGAGCCGGAGGAGCAGTCTGCTGCGTAGGCGTCCCACGCAGGCCCACACTGCTCCTCGCATTCCCTTCAAACTGTGACCTTTCACGGACTCGGGCTGGTCTTCCGCGGCCCCCCAGGTGCTATGGGGGAGGGGGGCACTGGATGGAATTAAACCAGAGAGAAAGAAAGCGGCTCCGTGTCCTGCTTCCCCTCATTGCCTCTTTTCTCCCGGCCTCCGCGGAGACAGCGCAGCGCCACGGGCCTTTGGTTATGGAGGTCCCGCCTGCGGGACTGGAGTGCCCCTTGCGGCTGTGGGAGGGGGAGTCGGGGGCTGGGGCAACGCAGGTCACCAGTCGCGAGGCCGCCTCCGTCCCAGAAGGGAGAAGGTTGCCGTGGGAACGGCAGGGCGGGGCCCACGCCCGCGCGGGCTCGGCAGCGGCGCCGACCAATGACGTCCTGCGCAGGCGCGCGGCAGGCCTGTCGGGCCGTTGGCGCCCATGGAGCGGGAGCTGCTGCTTCGGAAGGTGTTGGCGATGCAGGTGCGGGGGCGGGCGCGGGCGCGGGGTGCACAGGATTTTCCCTTAGGGACATCATGGGGTCTTGTGCCGGGACCTCACAGTGAAGCCCTTACCTGCGCATCAACCTCTGGAGATACCGGCCTCCCACCCGCGCTGAGGAAAGCTGGGACCCACAGACTCCCTGCCCTGCGCGCCCCCGCTCCCACCACACGCCCGTGCGGGATCAGGGAAACAGGACGAGCCTTAAGGCGAGGAGGAGCATCCAGTCCAGCACCCTCCCTCGAGCCCCCCGGAGCCCCAGCGCACAGCCCACCTATCCTTTCCCCGCCGCCGGGTCCCTCTAGCATTCGCCGGGACGACCGCTCCAGGACCGTCCTCTGAGAGCCCCCCTTCCCCCTTACCGTGATGACGGACTTCTTCGCTCTCGTTCTCCACTCCAGGCCTGCGTCCGGGGCTGCTTGGTCAGACGCCAGTTTCAGAGCCTGCGAGCTGAGTATGAGGCGATTGTACAAGAGATCGAGGGCGACCTGGGCACGCTTCAGTGGACCGAGGGCCGCATGCCCAGGCCCCGATTCCTCCGAGAGGTAGGACACACCTAGGAGGGAAAGGAAGGAGGGCTTGGGCAGAGTGCGGCCCACCCTTCCTGATGACAAGGTTTTCTCACTGGAAGAGGCAGCAGACTCACCTCCTCACACCCTAGTCCTTAACCCTCACCAACTTGTCTGCCAGATCATGGTGCCCAGATACTTGGAAGGGTTAAGCCCCGGGCTTTCACATCTCTCTTAATTTCTCAGAAGGCAAAATCCCATCAGACCTGGAAAGCAGGAGACAGGGTAGCAAATCCGGAGCAGAAGCTGTGGAACCACGTCCCGTGTAAAGAGTCTGAGGGAGAGGCCACCTGCGAGGAGATGGTGCTCAGGAAGTCAGGAGAGAGCTCAGCAAACCAAGGAAGCCTCTGCAGAGATTACAGCCCCTGGCTTCAGATGGAGCAGAACGGGAAACCCAGCCAAGAGGAGACCAGAGACAGGACAGGGAGGGAGACTCCAGGTACCTCTCTGCCACATTAGGAAGTACAGTTTACATCAACTGGCTGTCACTGTACGTCGAGAAATCCACAAAAGCGCTAGTCACATGAGTGAAAGGCTTGTGCTAGATAAACTGCATCCCTTTCCCGTCTTCTCTCTGCCTGGTTAGGGCCACCACATGGTTGGGCAGTGGTGGGGAGGGAGATTCCAAAGGCTAAGGCTAGGCCATTTCCTGGGCTCTGCTCCCTCAAGGTTTTCTCCTTATTCCTTCTCTCCTTCACAGAAGCCACAGATCCAAGACTGTCACACAGCCAACCTGAGCTTCAAGAGCTTCAGTACCACCGCAGCCACTTGGCCATGGAATTGCTCTGGCTGCAACAGGCCATCAATAGCCGTAAGGAGGTAGCACTAACCTGGAACTCTTTTTGAACATTTAGGGTCAAGGGTGGGGGTTAGGGAGAGACCTCCTGCTATGCCCAAGCAGACCTGCTTGGTACAGTGTATGTTCTCTCCCCCAACAGTACCTAATTCTCAAACAAACACTGAGATCCCCAGAGGCAGGCCCGATCAGAGAGGAGCCCAGTGTGTGCCCAGAACATGGGAAAAAAGCCTGTGAGAGGAACCAGTCACAACCACATGCACCACTGGAGGACCAGTCCTACAGAGACAGGACCGCTGGAGAGCTAGATCAGGAGGATGACTCCTGCCAGAGGGTCATATCCCCAGGAAGTCAAGCCACTGCCCAAAAAACCACTGCTGGGGCTAAGTGCAGAGAACCATGCTACAGCAGGGCTGGACCACCGTTATCAATACCATCGAACAGCCAGGCTCTGGGGGACACGCTCACCAAAGGGCCAGATGATGGAAGACAGACCTTTGGAGGCACCTCCCTGCTGCAAATGAACATCCTGGAGGACCAGACCCCCAGAGGCTTAAAACTTACGGAACATTGTCCCAGGAAGCATAGGACACAGCTGCCTGCACTCTGTGAGGACACATATAATAAAGAGACATCTCCCAGAAAACTAGACCACAAAGAGCCTGACTGCCGAACAGTCAGGAGACAAGAGTTGGGCCTCTCAGAGGACCACGTCATCTCAGATGGGACCTTGTCAGGGCCAGAGCATGGCGGCCTTGATCTCTGGAGGACTAAACCACCCAAGATCAGACCCTTAGTGATAGAAGCTCCGGAGATGGAACCTCCAATGAGCCTAGTCATGAAGGACAGAAAAACCAGAGGACTGTACCATGGAGATCAAAGTCACCTGAGATCCTGTCTTCCACAGGGGCAGGCTTTACAGGAAAGGAACAGTGGAGGGGCAGGCCATGGAAAACAGGACCACCTGGCTAGCCCCTGGGAAGCCAGGAGAGGACCAAGTTCCAAAGGGGAATGCTATGAAAGGGCAGAGAGGACAAGACCTCATCCTACCTCCCTGGTACCAGCTCTACCTCCTGCCCTTGCCCCTGGCATCAGTGGCTAGTGGGGCCAAGAGAAGCTGGAGCAGAGAGCTGGCATGAGTATAGGGAAGGAGGAAGGACATGCTTTCAATCTTCTGCCTGTGGCTTAATCCAAATTTGTGGATAAGGCGCTGGGCGTGGTGGCTCACACCTGTAATCCCAGCACTTTGGGAGGCCGAGGAAGTGGATCACCTGAGGTCAGAAGTTTGAGACCAGCCTGACCAACATGCTGAAACCCCATCTCAACTAAAAATACAAAAATTAGATGGGTGTGGTGGCGCATGACTGTAGTCCCAGGTACTTGGGAGGCTGAGACAGGAGAATCGCTTGAACCCAGGAGGTGGAGGTTGTGTTGCAGTGAGCCAGGATCGTGCCACTGCACTCCAGTCTGGGTGAGAGAGGGAGACACTGTCTCAGAAATCAAATCTGTGGCTACCTGGGGGAAGTGGAATGGGAGACCTGTTGGGAATAAAGGTTTTTCTTAGATTCTGAGCCTGGCTGCTTTCATCTTCTGCTTCTGGCCAGGACAGACTCTGGGCCCTGCTTTTCACTTCCTACTGGCATGGAGCATTGATTCCAGAGCCAGCTGGGAGCCACAGTCCAGGAACAGATCTAGCCATCCTCCTTAGGGAATAACCCCTGAAGCTGATCCCCCATTGAGCTCAGCCTTGTGCTTTAGAGTGGCAAGGAGGCTCTGCAGAGTAAGGAACACCTGTGTTTAATTAAGTGTGATCTCCCGAGGGCAGATAAATGCTCCTGCCAGAGGCTCCCTCTGCCTTCCTGGGTGAGAGGGCTGGACTCCACCTCTGATTGGCACCGTTCCCAGCCCTTCCTTGGTTGCCTGGCAACAGCTCTGTGTCTCTGACTGAGATTACACTATGGCGGCTGGCCATCCAGCAGCCAAGAGGGTCCTGGTGTATCGGAATGGGGACCCTTTCTTCCCAGGCTCCCGGCTTGTGGTGACTCAACGCTGCTTCCCCACCATGGAGGCCTTCCTCTGCGAGGTGACATCAGCCGTGCAGGCCCCACTGGCTGTGCGTGTTCTCTATACTTGTCAAGGCCACCGTGTCACTGACTTGGCAGACTTGAAGCATGGAGGGCAGTATGTGGCTGCTGGCTTTGAACGATTCCACAAGCTCCAGTGAGTGGGCTGGGGCTGATCAAAGAGCCTAGCAAGGGAGGGAACAGCAGTAGCAAGAACGTGTATTCAGTACATACCACTTATGTACTGGCACGTTACTGGTACTCACAACTCTATGGGGTGGGGGGCGGGGGGCTGGGTTTGCCTCCATTAGAAAGGGAAATTAGACAAAAAATCTGAGTACACAACAAATAGTTGAAATTCAAATAGAATTGAGTGTGTTACTAATGATCACAGCCAAGATCAGCCTGTGGGAAGACCACTCTCCTGCAGATTGAGCCCCTTTTTCCAAAAGCTTTTCTTGCTTGGACCTTCTAACGTCACCAAACACTCTAAATCCACCCATCCATTCCTCCCCACTGTGCTTAGGCATCCCAGACTCTGCTGTTAGGCTAGGATCATCCCCATTGCAGGAGGAGACTGTCTTCCCAGGTGAGAGAAGAATTTGAGTATCTGAGTCTGACTCATGTCTGGCTTCCAGGTCCTACTCTTAGCTCTCAGCTGAGGTTTCTTACTATTAATGTAAGGACCAAGAAGGGGAAGTGGCTGGGCAAGGTGGCTCATCCTTATAATCCTAGCACTTTGGGAGGCTGAAGCGGGTGGATTACCTGAGGTTAGGAGTTAGAGAACAGCCTGGCCAATGTGGCAAAACTCTGTCTCGACTAAAAATACAAAAATTAGCCGGGTGTTGTAGCATGTGCCTGTAATCCCAGCTACTCAGGAGGGTGAGGCAGAAGAATTGCTTGAACCTGGGAGGCGGAGGTTGCAGTGAGCTGAGATCGCACCACTGTACTCCCGCCTGGGTAACAGCGAGATTCCATTAAAAAAAAAAAAAAAAAAAAGGTTGGCCAGGCATAGTGGCTCATGCCTGTGATCCAAGTACTTTGGAGGCCAAAGCGGGCGGATCACCTGAGGTCGGGAGTTCAAGCCCAGCCTGACCAACATGGTGAAACCCCGTCTTTATTTAAAAAAAAAAAAAAAAAAAAGTGGACTGGGGTGTGCAAAGCTAGGTAGACTTAGAATCTAGGCTTCATTCCTTATTTATTGTGTGACTTTGGGCAAGTCGCTTAATTTCCTGGAGTCTCATACAAAATGGAGATAAAATGACCTATTTCATGAATGAAAACATTCTTGGGATACAGCAGGATGCATAATGCACTAGTTTCTAGTTTTCTCCCTTTTTTTTTTTTTTCTTTTTAGACAGGGTCTTGCTCTGTTGTCCAGGCTAGAGTGCAGTGCAGTGACACAATCACTCACTGCAGCCTCGAACTCCTGAGCTCATGCAATCCTCCTGCCTCAGCCTCCAAAGTAGCTAGGACTACAGGTGCATGCCACCATGCCTGGCTAATGTTTGCTTTTGCTAGCAATGAGGTTGCACAGGCTGATGTCAAACTCCTGGGCTCAAGTTATCTTCCTGCCTCAGCTTCCCATAGATCTGGGATTACAGGTGTGAGCTGCCATGCCCTTGACCTTTAATCTCATGGTTAGTATCAAGACCCTGGTCTGGATTTCCAGACTTACCCAGAACTTGCCCCGGCAGCACTTGAGCACTGAAGGAGTCCTAGGACAGGTTCAAGTGCCAGTATATGTTTCTGGACTGAGATGATTGCCACTATTCCATGGGGAGAGATATCTAGTGAGCTATACCCCAGCCCAAAACTGACATTTGCCAGACTGTTGAGGCCTCAGGCTCTGTGAGATGAACTGTGACCTATCTGTCCTTTCAGCTATTTACCCCATGGAGGGAAGGATCCAGGTGGGAAGAGCTGCAGACTACAAGTGAGTCCTGGGGACCTGTCCCCAGCCCCTCTGTCTTCCCATTCCTTCTGGAACTGCCCCCAATTTGGTGTGGGAAGCCAGGGAAGCAGCAAGATCTGCCAGTTATATGGGGGGTACTTTGGAGCCAGCTGCTATCCTTCCTGGGGTGTGGGATTTCAAGACACTATTTCTTGCTTCTGTCCCAGGCTTTGACTTTACCTCCAAATTGTGGTCCAAAGGAAAGAGGAAGCTGTGAAACACAGATGGGGAGAGGGGGTGGCTAGAATGTAAGTTACGGAACATAGAAGCAACTTTTGGTAAAAGGTGTGACCTGTGTCATCCTTCCTCACCCACTTCCTGCCCCAGTCTGGTTCCAGCCCCCTCACTCCACACTTTGGACAGACCCACCCCTAAACAGAGGCCCCAACTCTCCTGATTTGGAGGCCTGACTTGGGTTTCAGGGTTCTCCGGTGACTCGCCACCTGTGTGATGGGCCCCTTGGACTTCGGCTGCCTGCAGGTGCTCCCTGCTACATCCAGTGAGTGCCAGTGTCAGGGAGCAGGGGTGTATTTTTTAGTGAGACCAAGAAAATGGTGTTGGGTTTGTTCCAGGAGTCTCTGGTTACCGTTGGGAATATAGAAGTCCAGCATGTTTGATGGGTGAACAGACACCAGTGTATGGTTATTGCTGGACTTGTGCCACCCTTCCCCTCACATGTAGGGACTCCTGGGACACTACCCCTTACCAGGCTTTTTGTCTCAGTGTGTTCAGGAATGGGGACCCGGTAAGTCCCCCATTTAGTCTGAAGCTGCCCCAGACTGCCAGCCAGGATTGGGAAACTGTGTTGAAGCTCCTGACTGAAAAGGTCCAGTTGCAGAATGGGGCTGTGTGCAAGTGAGTATGGGGGCTGCGAGGGCTCAACAGTCCCCAAACGGAGCCTCCCCACTGGATTCAGCTGTGGCTGAGGGTGACGAGGCAAAAGGAAAGCATATTCACCTACATGGGACTTCCTCCTATGTCACAGGGAGAGGCCCCTCTGCCCAGCCCTCAGAGGCAGGGTAGAGCCTGGGTGACTGGTGCTGAGGCCAGAGGGCACTCACCCCTCAGTCTGCTGAATGTGAAGCAGCATTGTATCCACCAGCCCTTATCCTGCTCACCTCTCTCCCAGACTCTGTACCCTGGAGGGGCTCCCACTGTCAGCAAGGGAGGAGCTGGTAAGTGGCCATTACTATGTGGCTGTCGGAGAGGATGAATTCAAGGCCCTCCCCTATCTGGAGCTGCTGGTGCCCAGCCCTTCCCTGCCCAGGGGCTGCTGGTATGTATGTGGGAGGTGGAGGTGTAACAGGCTAGGCAGAGGAAGCCACCCTCTGGGTCTGTGTGCTTTGACTCCTTGCCCTCTACTCACTACAAGCCTTTCCTTTTGTTGTAGGCATCCTCCAGACTCGACGTCTAGGGCCCACAGGCAGGGGGTAGGTGACGCAGGGTACAGTGTGGAGTGGGGTGGGAACAGGAGTGACTGTCTGACAACTCTTCTGGCACAGGCTCTGACCTTATTTCACTGCATCCTTTTTGTTTTTTTTGAGATCGAGTCTCGCTCTGTTACCCAGGTTGGCGTGCAGTGGCATGATCTCGGCTCCCTGCAACCTCCACCTCCCAAGTTCAAGTGATTCTCCTGCCTCAGCCTCCCAAGTAGCTGGGCTTACAGATCCTTGCCATCACACCTGGTTAACTGCATCCTTTTTTTCCTTTCTTCTTTTATTTTGAATATAGAGATGAGTCTCACTATGCTGCCCAGGCTGGTCTTGAACTTCTTGGCTCAAGCAATCCTGCATCCTCTTAATAATCTTTTTCCGGCCAGGCGTGGTGGCTCACACCTGTAATCCCAGCACTTTGGGAGGCTAAGGCGGGTGGATCATGAGGTCAAGAGATCGTGGTCAACATGGTGAAACCCCATTTCTAAAAATATATAATAATAATAATAATTTTTTTTTTTGAGACAGAGTTTCACTCTTGTTGCCCAGGCTGGAGTGCAGTGGTATGATCTCAGCTTACTGCAACCTCCGCTTCCCAGGTTCAAGCAATTCTCCTGCCTCAGCCTCCTGAGTAGCTGGGATTATAGACATGCACCACCAGCCCAGCTAATTTTTTTTTCTGAAACAGCGTTTCACACTTGTTACCCAGTCTGCAGTGCAATGCCATGGTCTGGCTCACTGCAACCTCTGCCTCCTGGGTTCAAGCGATTCTCCTGCTTCAGGCTCCCAAGTAGCTGGGATTACAGGCATCCACCACCATGCCCAGCTAATTTGTTGTATTTTTAGTAGAGACAGGGTTTCTCCATGTTGGTCAGGCTGGTCTTGAACTCCCGACCTCAGGTGATCCACCCACCTTGGCCTCCCCAAAGTGCTGGGATTATAGGCATGAGCCACCCACACCAGGCCCCTCAATAATCTTGTGAAAGAAAGATTATCCACATTTTCCAGAGGTGGAAACTGAAGCTCAAAAGAGTGAAGTGGGCTGGGCGTGGTGGCTTACACCTGTAATCCCAGCACTTTGGGAGGCTGAGGAGGGTGGATCACCTGAGGTCAGGAGTTCAAGACCAGCCTGGCCAACATGGTGAAACCCCATCTCTACTAAAAATTATCTGGGCATGGTGCCTGTAGTCCTAGATACTCCGGAGGCTGAGGCAGGAGAATCACTTAAACCATGGAGGCAGAAGTTGCAGTGAGCCGAGATCTTGCCACTGCACTCCAGCCTGCGTGACAGACTGAGACTCGGTCTCAAAAAAAGGTGGTGGTGGGCTGGGTGTGGTAGCTTACACCTGTAATCTCAGCACTTTGGGAGGCCGAGGAGGGTGGATCACCTGAAGTCAGGAGTTTGAGACCAGCCTGACCAACATGGAAAGACTCAGTCTCTTTTAAAAAAAAGGCGGTGGCTCATGCCTGTAATCCCAGCACTTTGGGAGGCTGAGGCAGGTGAAACACAAGGTCTGAAGCCTCAGTTGGGGAGTAGGAAAGGTAAGAATGGCCAGCAACCAGCTTCCAAACCCAGTATCCTTTCTATAGGCCCAAGGCCACAGGGCACAGGTAACCCAGCCCTCTCCAAAGGAACCAGGCCAAATCGAGCCATTGGCTTTCTATGCCAGACCCCAGAAGACCATTCAGCCAAGAAGCAAGCCCCTACAATCTCATTCCCATCAGATGAGGGGCCCCTGGGGCTCAGGCCCTTCTCAGCTGCCCTTTGATAGTGACATAGGTTGGTCCTTGATGTTGTTGGGGATGTCCATGGGAGCAGAATGCCCAGACACAAAGCTGGCACTGAAAAAAAAAAAAAAAAAAAAAAAAGATAAAGGAGTTTGAGCCTACTGGCTCAGGAGACTGCTCATAACAAAAAAAGCTGGCCCTGACCTCATCATAACTGTCTCCAGCTCTCCTGTCTGCAGATCCTGTCCCTTCTTCACAGGCCTTGTCACACAAAAAGCGCCTGGAAAGCGCAGTGCTTAAATCGATGAGACTTCAGGTTGGGATTTAGAGGGGATGGGGATGGGACGAAAGGCCCACCTCTCACTTCCCTGCCATCCTGGGAGGTGGTGGGGAAGGCAGAACCAGGTTCAGGGGAGGGAAAGGGGCTGGCATGAAGGTCCAGGGCAGGAATGCTGTGGGCTCTTCAGCCTGGGCATCAGCCAACGCTGCCTCCCTCTTTAGGAGTTACAGGAACATATGAGGCTCCCCACCCAAGGAAGGAGACAGCAGGGGCCCAGGAAGTAGCAGATGATGAAGACACCCAGAGAAGCCCTTGGATCAGGTAAGCTGTTGGATCAGTAAACAGTATATTGGGATGGGAGTTCTGAGGTGGAAACTAGCAGCCCAGGGCCCCAGGAGCAGTTCTCCTCCCTTGTGATTGAAGGCAAACGGATCTCCTAACTTCCTACCTTGTTTAATGAGGAAGCAGTTCCTAATTTCCAGTGTCTTCCTTTCTTGGGGTCGGGACCTCCTGGCTGAGAGCTGGAGGCTGGCCACTCTCTCACTCCATTCTGCATGGCTTTCCACTTCCTCCAGAGGGCAGCACAGATAGTGGAAGAGGCCTTGTCCCTGGAAAACCAGCCTGGGGCTGGAGCTGCTATCTCAGCCTCAGCCCCTGCTCTGCCATTTTGAGAGCCCGCAGCTTCAGAGAACTGGGGACTACCACTCTGGCCACCTTTTGTCCTCAGCCTCCAGCAGCTTGTTCCTCAGGAGCCACCACCTCCCCTGGGCTCCCAGGGTACACTGCAGTCTCCTTAGCCCTCCCAGTTCTGCTCCTACACCCAGAGCCCAGCCTTCCCTTCCTCTGAGCAGGGCAGCCCTGGCTGTGGGGGCTACTTCCTTATGGAATTCTCTGGCCAGAGAAAGTAGCTGGCTGAGCCTGGGAGAGGCCACAAACGCGGGAGCAGGTTTGTCACAATAAAATAATACTTATTAACCTCTGTTTACCACAGATTTATTGACAGCTACTACTCTCCAGGTGTTGTGCTGGGTGCTGGAGTCAGGCGGAGCTGGGGCTCACAGCTGCTACCTGTTTAAGAGAGGCTGGCAGGGCCGGGCACGGTGGCTCAAGCCTGTAATCCCAGCACTTTGGGAGGCCGAGGTGGGTGGATCACGAGGTCGAGAGTTCGAGACCATCCTGGTCGACATGGTGAAACCCCGTCTCTACTAAAAATACAAAAAATCAGCTGGGCATGGTGGCATCTGCCTGTAATCCCAGCTACTCAGGAGGCTGAGGCAGGAGAATTGCCTGAACCCAGTAGGCGGAGGTTGCGGTGAGCCGAGATCGCGCCATTGCACTCCAGCCTGGGTAACAAGAGCGAAACTCCGTCTCAAAAAAAAAAAAGAGAGGCTGGCAGTGAGGATTTCTGCCCACCTCATGGGTGGGGCAGGCAAGGCTCATAGCTCATCTTCTGCATCTGCCACTCTGAGGCACCTTCTTCCCCTCAGTTCCACCCCTCTGCCAGCCAAGGCGCTCTGAGCCCTGGAGGTCTCCTGTTTGCTTTCTGGCTCCATCTGTAGCTGGCTTTCCATGCAGCTGGGGTTCTGCAGTCCGTGGAACCGGCTGCCATGATAGTCCAGATTAGGCCACAGTAATGGTGGCTGAACTGGGGGCCTGAGATGACAGCAGGAAGAGAGCTGCTGGGGCAGAAAGGTTGCTGAGGGTGAAGCGTCGAGGCTCCTGTGCTAAATCCCAGTGGCTGAACAGCACTTGAAGGTTACAAAACCCTTTCACTCTTGTTCTCTTATTGTGATCCATGAGGTAGCTGTTATCCCCGTAAGAGGAGGAAGCTGAGGCCAGAGAGGGGAGGTGCTAGGTCCATCTGCTCACTGCCAGCACTTCATGGCCCAGGGGCTTCCAGGAGGCAGCAGAGCTGGAGATGGGTTCGGCCCACTCAAAGGGTAGGCGGTTGCCCCTGGGTCTTACTCACTGAGCTTGTGATGCAGAGTGAAATTCCTGTCATGGTGAGCACCATGCCAACGACTGCTCCTGGGATAATGGACAGAAATCAAGGGGTTCCGAGCTCAGCCATGCCAGTAGGAGCTGGCACAGAGCTGTACAAAGGACTCAGATGGGGTCTGGTCCTGGGTCCCGCCCCAGCCTCTGTCCCCAGACTGTCCAGGGGAAGGGAACTCCGATGGCCACAAGGAAGCAGGACAGCTGCAGAGGAAAAGGCAGGATGGGAAGAGGCCCTGTCCTCACCCATTCCAGGGAGATGGGTTCCGGGAAGGAACTAATACAGGTATGTTGAGGTCCAAATAGCTGCGTCCCACACTTGCAGTAGCCTGACTTACGTTTTCCACCAATATCTTCTCCAAGGGCCTTCCCAACAATCAGTGTGAAGATGATGGCCAGAGAATTACAGATGGGTACAGCTAGGGTCAGATCTGGGTGGTCAGAATGAAAAGAATCCCTGAGATGCAAAAAATGCCTTTCTAAACACAAGACACTTCCATCATCATCATCATTATTTCATATCTTTAAAAAAGGTATCATAACCCTATCTTCCAGATGAAGTCACAGCACATTTCAGGACTCAGACCCAAATATCCTGACTCCACGTTCAGTGCTTCCCCAGGATTCCAGCATTCCCCAGGATTCCTGGACTCTGAGGTCTGGTACCAGCCTGGTTTGATAATCAGAATGGTCTTTGCACTCATTAAGAACTTGTAGCCGGTCGCGGTGGCTCAAGCCTGTAATCCCAGCACTTTGGGAGGCTGAGGCGGGTGGATCACGAGGTCAAGAGATTGAGACCATCCTGGTCAACATGGTGAAACCCCGTCTCTACTCAAAATACAAAAAATTAGCTGGGCATGGTGGCGCATGCCTGTAATCCCAGCTACTCAGGAGGCTGAGGCAGGAGAATTGCCTGAACCCAGGAGGCGGAGGTTGCGGTGAGCCGAGATCACGCCATTGCACTCCAGCCTGGGTAACAAGAGCGAAACTCCATCTAAAAAAAAAAAAAAAAAAAAAAAAAAAAAAAAAAAGAACTTGTGGGCTGGGCGTGGTGGCTCACGCCTGTAATCCCAGCACTTTGGGAGGCAGAGGCGGGTGGATGATGAGGTCAAGAGATCGAGACCATCCTGGTCAACATGGTGAAACCCCGTCTCTACTCAAAATACAAAAAATTAGCTGGGCATGGTGGCGCGTGCCTGTAATCCCAGCTACTCAGGAGGCTGAGGCAGGAGAATTGCCTGAACCCAGGAGGCGGAGGTTGCGGTGAGCCGAGATCGCGCCGTTGCACTCCAGCCTGGGTAACAAGAGCGAAACTCCGTCTCAAAAAAAAAAAAAAAAAAAAAAAAAAAAAAAAAAGAACTTGTGAGATTTCAAGGCCATCTGGACACATAGGCAGGCACCCAAATCCCAAAGGATACAGTAGAGAGTCAAGTGACACCAAGCACAGATACCATTTTTTTTTTCTTTTCTTTGAGACGGAGTCTTGCTCTGTCACCCAGGCTGGACTGCAGTGGTGTGATCTTGGCTCACTACAGCCTCCGTCTCCTGGATTCATGGGATTCTTATGCCTCAGCCTCCTGAGTAACTGGGATACAGGTGCCTGTCACCATGCCGTGCTAATTTTTGCATTTTGAGTAGAGATAGGGTTTTGCCATGTTGGCTAGGCTAGTCTCAAACTCCTGACCTGAGGCGATCCGCCCACCTCAGCCTCTCAAAATGCTGGGATTATGTAGTGAGCCACTACACCTGGCCATATAGCCACCATTTATTAAGCATATACCATGGCCTAGGTGCTCTTTGTACATATTTCAATTTTCATAACACTGCAAGGAAGGGATTATCACCATTTTGCATAAAGGAAACTAAGGCAAGTTGAGGATTTAAACTGAGGTTTGTCTGACTCCAAAGTCTGCACTCTTATTGAATTAAATGGATATGGACAAAGCAGAACATCAGGTGAAGCACATTTTGTTTCTGTTTCAGCCCAGGCTCAGGCCTTAGGGAGTTAAAAGAAAGTGTCAGAAGAAAGAAGCCAGGTAACCTGTTCAGGACACTGGGCTGGACCTATGGTGTAGAGAGAGGGTATCATAGCCCAGGATCTGTTCCTTAATTTTGAAGTTCCAAGGGGCTGACTGCCAATAAGCAAACTTGGAAAAGAGTAATGGAGTTGGCTGGGCGTGGTGGCTCATGCCTGTTAATCCCAGCACTTTGGGAGGTGGAGGTGGGAGGACTGCTTGAGGTCAGGAATTCCAGACCAGCCTGGCCAACATGCTAAAACCCCATCTCTACTGAAAATACAAACAATTATGAAGGAACAAAGCAGGCACCAAAAAAGAAAAAAATAATACAAACATTAGCCAGGCTTGGTGGCACATAACCCCAGCTACTTGGGAGGCTAAGGCATGAGAACTGCTTGAATCCAGGAGATGGGAGGTTGCAGTGAGTCGACATCAAGCCACTGCACTCCAGCCTAGGTGTCAGGGCCAGACTCCATTAAAAAAAAAAAGGGGGGGCCGGGCGCGGTGGCTCAAGCCTGTAATCCCAGCACTTTGGGAGGCCGAGGTGGGTGGATCGCAAGGTCGAGAGATCGAGACCATCCTGGTCAACATGGTGAAACCCCGTCTCTACTAAAAATACAAAAAATTAGCTGGGCATGGTGGTGCATGCCTGTAATCCCAGCTACTCAGGAGGCTGAGGCAGGAGAATTGCCAGAACCCAGGAGGCTGAGGTTGCGGTGAGCCGAGATCGCGCCATTGCACTCCAGCCTGGATAACAAGAGCGAAACTCCGTCTCAAAAAACAAAAAAAAAAAGGTATGGGAGAAAAGAAAAAGACTAATGGAGTTAACTTAAAATTTGTTGAGGGTAGATCTCCTGTTAAGTGTTCTTATCATATTAAAAAAAGAGCCACATACACATAAAAAAAGACAGACAAATCAGCTGAATTATCCATGGTAAAAGGACTCAACTGCAGACCAGATACTCACACTGGCTCCTCAGCACATTCTTTCCCAGCACTCCCAGGCCTTGCCTTTGTGAGGCAGAGAAGGGAACTGTCTTGCTCCTCATCCCCTGGGAGGCCCCAGCATAGAGGCATTACCCATCTAAGAAGTTGATACAACAACCCCACCTACAAAGAGTTGTTTTCTTTTTTTGTTGTTTTTCATTTTTGTTGTTTTTGAGACATGGTCTCACTCTGTTGTTCAGGCTGGAAGTGCAGTGGTGAGGTCACTGTTCACTGCAGCCTCTACCTCCTGAGCTCAAGTGATCCTCCCACCTCAGCCTCCTGAGCTCAAGTGATCCTCCCCCCTCAGCTTCCTGAGCAGCTGGAACTACACACACACACCACCAAGCTTGGGTAATTTTTGTATTTTTGTTGTTGTTGCCTAGGCTGGGCTCCTAGGCTCAGGTTATCTGCACACCTGAGCCTCCCAAAGTGCTGGAATTATAGGCCTGAGCTACTGTGCCTTGCCCAGAGCTGCCTTCTTAAGTTTACATACTTTACAAGGAGTGTCATGGCTGCTAAGGTCTGGTTTGCAGCAGTAGATGGGGGAAGGAAGCAGCATAGTGCAATGGGAGAGTGAGGACATCAGAGTGAGGCAGATCTGAGCTCCCTTGTAATCCTGGTTAGGATATTCAAACACTTACCTTGTTTCCCCACATGTAAAATAGTGATCACAGTATACCATTTCTTTTGTTGGGTTGTTGTAACATGAACTGTGATAATGCATGGTTAGTCCCTGGCTAAAGTGAATGCTTCATAAATAGTGACTATTGTTCTGGTTATTGGAAAGGATGGATATTCAAAGATACAGGCAGAGAGGGTGATGAAATAAAAAGATCCTAATATTGTAATGTGATTAAAACTTGGTGAATGGCTAGCTGTAGTCAGCTGGCCAAGGGTTCAGCATTCTTCCACAGCAGTGAATGCATGAGCCCAGAGGCTTTCAAATTCTTTTTTTTTTTTTTTTTTTTTTTGAGACGGAGTTTCGCTCTTGTTACCCAGGCTGGAGTGCAATGGCGCGATCTCGGCTCACCGCAACCTCCGCCTCCTGGGTTCAGGCAATTCTCCTGCCTCAGCCTCCTGAGTAGCTGGGATTACAGGCATGCGCCACCATGCCCAGCTAATTTTTTGTATTTTGAGTAGAGACGGGGTTTCACCATGTTGACCAGGATGGTCTCGATCTCTTGACCTCGTGATCCACCCGCCTCAGCCTCCCAAAGTGCTGGGATTACAGGCTTGAGCCACCACGCCCGGCTAAGAGTTTCACTCTTGTTATCCAGGCTGTAGTACACTGGCTCGATCTCAGCTCACCACAACCTCCGCCTCCCGGGTTCAGGCGATTCTTCTGCCTTGGCCTCCTGAGTAGCTGGGATTACAGGCATGCACCACCATGCCTGGCTAATATTGTGTGTGTGTGTGTGTGTGTGTGTGTGTATATATATATATATATATATATATATATATATATATATATTTTTTTTTTTTTTTCAGTAGAGATGGGGTTTCACCATGTTGACCAGGATGGTATTGATCTCCTGACCTCATGATCCACCTGCCTTGGCCTCCCAAAGTGCTGGGATTACAGGCATGAGCTACCATGCCCGGCCAAGCTACCAAGCCAAGCCTGGACTGCAACTTCATTTTCTTTTCTTGTTTTCTTTTTCTTTTTTTTTTTTTGAGACGGAGTTTCGCTTCGCTCTTGTTACCCAGCCTGGAGTGCAATGGCGCAATCTCGGCTCACCGCAACCTCCATCTCCTGGGTTCAGGCAATTCTCCTGCCTCAGCCTCCTAAGTAGCTGGGATTACAGGCACATGCCACCATGCCCAGCTAATTTTTTGTATTTTTAGTAGAGACGGGGTTTCACCATGTTGACCAGGATGGTCTCGATCTCTTGACCTCGTGATCCACCCGCCTTGGCCTCCCAAAGTGCTGGGATTACAGGTTTGAGCCACTGCGCCTGGCCTGCAACTTCATTTTCAAAGATAAAGAAATTTATGTATATGGAGCTTTGTGCGCCAGACACTCTCCTAGATGTTTTTCATTAATTCTTTTTTTTTTTTTTTTTTTTTTTTGAGATGAAGTCTCTCTAGAGATAGAACCAGTAAGCTACAAAGAAAAAAAAAAAAAAAGGAAAAAAAGAGATGATGTCTCGCTCTGTTGTCCAGGCTGGAGTGCAATGATGTGATCTTGGCTCACTGCAACCTCCGCCTCCTGGGTTCAAACGATTCTTCTGATTTTTCTGCCTCAGCTCCTGGTAGCTGGGATCACAGGTGCGCACCACAACGCCTGGCTATTTTAAAAAAATTTTTAGTAGAGATAGGTTTCACCATGTTAGCCAGGCTGGTCTTGAACTCCTGACCTCGTGATCCTCCCACCTCAGCCTCCCAAAGTGCTGGGATTAAATTTAATCTTCACAATGCTATGAAGCCAACTGTATAAAACCAAAGCTCAGGTTGGGTGTGGTGGCTCACACCTGTAATCCCAGCACTACTGAAAATACAGGAAAAAAAAAAAAAAAAAACAAAAAACCCTCAACTCTACAAAATTACAAAATTAGCTGGGCATGGTGGCACATGCCTGTAATCCCAGCTACTTAGGAGACTGAGGCAGGGGAATCGCTTGAACCCGGGAGGCGCAGGTTGCAGTGAGCTGAGATAGTGCCGTTGCACTCCAGCCTGGTCCACAAGAGTGACACTGTCTCAAAAAACAAAAACAAACCAAAGCTCAAATGAGGAACTTGCTCATGGTCAGGCAGGTAGCACACAGTGGAACCAAGAGTGTGAAAGCCAGCACTTGGCAAAGCAGAATGAACCTTCCCTCTTCGTCCGCTGTCACACAAGACTGCCAGGCTTCAAACCAACCCCAGTGCCTAGCAACATACTCTGAACCAGCCCACTGTGCCCTTCTTGTTCAGAGAAGAGGACACTAGGAGGGAACTAAGGCTAGTCAGCACTCTCTCACTGATGGGAATGAGGTGTTTCAAGTTCTACCCAACAAATCACTCTTCCAGGTGGCCTCAAACACTAAGCAGAACAGTTCCAAGCCAGGACCCACCTGTCGATGCCAAGGTGAGGTAATAGAGAAGAGAGCCACACTGGTTGAGGAGAAAGGGCATCAGGTACTGGAAAGAAGAGAAACCTGCATCAGTGTGAAGGCCTGAATAAGCAGCACTGCCTTCTTTGAGCTTCTAGCATATGCCTTTTCTTGGAGGGAGTGAGGGTTCTAAGACCCAGAGAACATTGGGCCCTCTAAGGAGGACCCTTCCAGGACAAAGAGGGAAACAGACTGAACTCTGTGCCTCTGCTCAAGCTAACCTCTCCCTCACGTCTGTTGGTTCCCACCCTGCAAGGCCCTGAGGCCAATGTCAGCCCCTCCAGGAAGCCTTCCCCAAGTCCTCCATATACAGCCTCCCTCCTCTGAACTCCTCTCCTGCAGGGCCAATTTGAGCCCCAAACCCTCCCTCTGCAAAGGCTCACAAATGTTGCCTTACATAACTGGAGGAATCACAGTAATAAAATACGAATGATGGTAGCCATAGATAGAGCACTTACTATGTTCTAGGCCCAGTGCTAAGTGCTCTGTGTATCTCACCTAATTCCCGCAACCGCCCTATCAGATGTTTATTATTATAATCGCCATTTACAGAGGACGAAACTGAAGGACAAGTGACTCTGGAGAGTTTCTAGTAAGTGGTGGGGCTGACACAGACCTGTTTGACTCCAAAGACCAAATTCTTGGCGGCAACTCCCCCGAGGGCGGGGACTTTCACAGACGCACCTCAGTATTCAAGAAGAGGGTCTTCATCTCCTGCAGCAACTGTCGGGCCCAGGTCGGCTCACGAATCCGCTGCAGGCCGCAAGAGGCCCGCTTCAGCAGCGGCTGCGTGCCTCCCCACAGAGCGGCCACCAGCACCAGAGCCAGCACCTGCCCTGAATGCAGACGACTGAGTCACCCTGACCCCCACCCCAAATGGCCGCCCGCCCGCTCCTGGCTTCCTATTCCCAGCTAGCCGCCCCCACTTCCCTCCTTCGCTTTCTTCGCTTCGGCTGCGACTGGCGGTTAGGAAAGGCCCCGGGAGGCTGAGGAGATGAATCCAGGAGTCCGGCTCTGGGGTTGCAGCAGGGGTTGGGGTTGGGTGCGGGGGACGTGGAGCAGGAAATGAATTCTAAATGAATTCGAGAAATCCATGGAGAGGCGGGACCGGTTACTTACCCAGAGACGCCGCCATGGCAACGCTGCCGTCTTCTACTTCCGGGAGCGAGGGGGCGGAGACCCACAATCCGGAAGTAGTTCCAAAGCCTTTTCCGGTGCTACTCACGTTGCGGTCTTCGAGTCGTCGCCGGGATGGTGAGTTCCAGAGTTCGGGGTACTGCAGTGGGGGTCCTGGGCTGAGGCCGGGACCCAATTCCGGGCACTAATGTTACCGTCTTGTCCCCACAGAAGCCGATCCTGCTGCAGGGCCATGAGCGGTCCATTACGCAGATTAAGTATAACCGCGAAGGAGACCTCCTCTTTACTGTGGCCAAGGACCCTGTGAGCGTCGGCTGAAGGGAGGGTTCGGGAGGGGGCCCGGGAGGGGCGAGTTCCTTATGCCAGGAAGATGGGTGAACATGCCAGTTTTGCCTATTGGGGGAACCAAAGAAACGGCCCATTTTGAGAAGTAGAGAGAGGACATCCCGGGGGTTGGTTGGCGAGAGTACCGGAAAAGGTGGGGAAGAACTCGTTTGGCCGAGTGCAAAGGCTCACGCCTGTAATCCCAACACTTTGAGAGGCTGAGAGGGGAGGATCGCTTGAACCCAGGAGTTAGAGACCAGCCTGAGCAACATAGTGGGACCCATCTCTACACAAAAAAATGAGCCTGATGTGGTGTCTCGAGCCTCTGGGCTTAGCTACTTCGAAGTCTGAAACGAGAGGATCACTTGAACCTGGTAAGCTGAGATCGTGCCGCTGCATCCCAAGAAAAGCAAGAGACAGCCGGGCGCGGTGGCTCAAGCCTGTAATCCCAGCACTTTGGGAGGCCGAGGCGGGTGGATCACGAGGTCGAGAGATCGAGACCAACCTGGTCAACATGGTGAAACCCCGTCTCTACTAAAAATACAAAAAAATTAGCTGGGCATGGTGGCACGTGCCTGTAATCCCAGCTACTCAGGAGGCTGAGGCAAGAGAATTGCCTGAACCCAGGAGGCGGAGGTTGCGGTGAGCCGAGATCGCGCCATTGCACTCCAGCCTGGGTAACAAGAGCGAAACTCCGTCTCAAAAAAAAAAGAAAAAAAAGAAAAGCAAGAGACCATTGTGGAAAGGGGATGAGGATGAGGGTCAGCTTCCCCAGAGAACGGGATGCGACATTTCGGGGGATGATCTAACCTTTCTACCAGGATAGGTGCAGGCTGTGTTATTCAGACACAGGGGACTTAACTGAGGGTGTCTCTAATCTCATTTTCAGTCAATCCCATCCTGCTACTCAATGCAAAACAGTCCCTCGTGATACTGCCTTTTGAGGCACCTCCATACGGAGGAAGTTAACTAGTGGTTAAAAGTGGGGGCTCTGAAGTCAGACAAACCTGATGTGAATGCTGACTCCTACATCTACTAGCAGTGTGATTTTGAGTATGTTACTTAACCTTTCTAAACTGCAGTTTCCCTTTTTATAAAACTGGGTACTTATAGGATTGTCTTTAGCATTAAATGAGATAATGTAAGGAGCTTGGCAGAGCACCTATGCATTTGAGTGCCTAATGAATGTTAGTCACTTATATTTTAAATTCCTTAGACATTATTTTATTGGAGCCTCACAGCTACCTATTGAAGAAAAATTTTTATTATTTTTATTTTATTTTATTTTGTTTTTTTGAGACGGAGTTTCACTCTTGTTACCCAGGCTGGAGTGCAATGGCGCAATCTCGGCTCACCACAACCTCCGCCTCCTGGGTTCAGGCAATTCTCCTGCCTCAGCCTCCTGAGTAGCTGGGATTACAGGCACGCACCACCATGCCCAGCTAATGTTTTTTATTTTTAGTAGAGACGGGGTTTCACCATGTTGACCAGGATGGTCTCGATCTCTTGACCTCGTGATCCACCCTCCTCGGCCTCCCAAAGTGCTGGGATTACAGGCTTGAGCCACCGCGCCCGGCCTGAAGAAAAATTATTGTCCTGGCCATTTTCAAGATGAGAAAACTGAAGTTCAGGGGAGAGAAGCAATGTATTTGAGATCATACAGTGAGACAGTGGCATAGCAGGCACTGGAACCCAGTCTTCCCTACTACCAATCTGCTCCCACTTGGATAAGACATCAAAGATACTGTTTTTCTGGACTGGAGCTCAATTTGGCCTTTTACTCTTTGGAGCCATTGGGAGTCCCAGGAGAGCTGTGGTTAGCAAATGAGCATGCTTTTGCAAGGCGCCAGACTTCTCTGGTGCTTATCTTCAGGAAGGGAGGAGAATCCAGGAGTTGGTCTTTTTACCAGCTCCCTGCTATTTCCCAAGAAATGAGCAGAAGAGGGCAGAATCAGCCTGGCTATAGGCTGCTGAGGGTTCTTGGGGCAAAATAGGAGCCATTGCTTTACTGGGACGTGTACCATCCTGTGTTTGACTTTTCCAGATCGTCAACGTGTGGTACTCTGTGAATGGCGAGAGGCTGGGCACCTACATGGGCCATACTGGAGCTGTGTGGTGTGTGGACGCTGACTGTATCCTTGTTTTGGCTCTGAATCCATGCTGCCAGGGTCTGCCAGCAGTGGAGAGGCTGAGTTGGAAGTTGGGAGTTGGGGGTGCTGTTGAGGGCCTAGAGCAGGCGTCCCCAAACTTTTTACACAGGGGGCCAGTTCACTGTCCCTCAGACCGTTGGAGGGCCGCCACATACTGTGCTCCTCTCACTGACCACCAATGAAAGAGGTGCCCCTTCCTGAAGTGCGGGGGGTGGGGGTGCGGATAAATGGCCTCAGGGGGCCACATGCGTCCCACAGGCCGTAGTTTGGGGACGCCTGGCCTAGAGAATGGTATCTCCTACTCCCTGGTCTCTTCGCTGGTTGAGGAAACATTCAGGACAAGTTCCAGTTCTGGCTAAGGAGGTAAGAGGGGAAGAAGAAGGCCGGGCGCAGTGGCTCAAGCCTGTAATCCCAGCACTTTGGGCGGCCGAGGCGGGTGGATCACGAGGTCGAGAGATCGAGACCATCCTGGTCAACATGGTGAAACCCCGTCTCTACTAAAAATACAAAAAACTAGCTGGGCGTGGTGGCGCGTGCCTGTAATCCCAGCTACTTAGGAGGCTGAGGCAGGAGAATTGCCTGAACCCAGGAGGCGGAGGTTATGGTGAGCTGAGATGGCGCCATTGCACTCCAACCTGGGTAACAAGAGCGAAACTCCGTCTCAAAAAAAAAAAAAAAGAGGGGAAGAAGGGCTCTTTGGGGCTGAACAGGGAGATGAGAGGACAAGGGCTCAGGTGAACTTTGTTATGCTTCTTAACAACTCTTCAGGGGACACCAAGCATGTCCTTACCGGCTCAGCTGACAACAGCTGTCGTCTCTGGGACTGCGAAACAGGTAAGCTGGGTTCATTCACTTTTTAGCAAATATTGAGAACCTACAGTGTAAACAGGTCATGAGTAAACAGGTCCTAGGAAAATAGAGATGAAATCCATAGATAGTTTTCAGTCTAGGGAATAAGAGACAAGATGATAAGAAAGATGAGAAAAGATGTCATCACAGCTGGGCTTGGTGGCTCACGCCTGTAATCCCAGCACTTTGAGAGGCCGAGGTGGGTGGATCACCAGGTCAGGAGTTCAAGACCAGCCTGGCCAACATGGTGAAACCCCATCTCTACTAATAGAAAAATTAGCTGGGCGTGATGGGGCCCACCTGTAATCCCAGCTACTCAGGAGGCTGAGGCAGGAGAATCGCTCAAACCCGGAAGGCAGAGGTTGCAGTGAGACGAGATCGTGCTACTTATACTGCACTCCAGCCTGGGTGACAGAGCAAGATTCCATCTCAAAATAAAATAAGATAAAATAACATTTAGGCTGACTCTGGGCATGCTGCCTATGAGTTAGCCCTGCTCTGCAAGAAGCTTTAAAAAAAAAGAAAAATTCTGACGAATAGCTGGACCAGACCATGTTCATTTCCCTTTAAAAACAATGAAAATATAAAAATAAGCTGGGACAGTGGCTCATGCCTGTAATCGCAGCACTTTGGTAGGCCGAGGCAGGCGGATCACCTGAGCTCAGGAGTTCGAGACCAGCCTGACCAACATGGTGAAACCCCAGCTCTACTAAAAAAAATAAAAATAAAAATAAAAAAATTAAAGCCGGGCGCGGTGGCTCAAGCCTGTAATCCCAGCACTTTGGGAGGCTGAGGCGGGTGGATCACGAGGTCGAGAGATCGAGACCATCCTGGTCAACATGGTGAAACCCCGTCTCTACTAAAGATACAAAAAATTAGCTGGGCATGGTGGCACGTGCCTGTAATCCCAGCTACTCAGGAGGCTGAGGCAGGAGAATTGCCTGAGCCCAGGAGGCGGAGGTTGCGGTGAGCCGAGATCGCGCCATTGCACTCCAGCCTGGGTAACAAGAGCGAAACTCCGTCTCAAAAAAAAAAAACAAAAAAAATAAAAATAAAAAAATTAGCTGGGTGTGATGGTGCATGCCTGTAATCGAAGCTACTCGAGAGGCTGAGGCAGGAGAATCATTTGAACCCGGGAGGTAGAGGTTGCAGTGAGCTGGGATCACACCATTGCACTCCAGCTAGGGCAACAAGAGTGAGACTCTGTCTCAAAAAAAAAGAAAAAAAGGTAAAGATGTCATCACTTTGGCACGTGCAGGAGTGAAAGCGTGGAGAGTGTTCTGTACAAGTCATCTAATCTAGCTGGAATTCCTGCTTCTTGGTGGAGTGGGGGTAGAGGGTGATATACACAGTCATAGAAAAGATGAGGCTGGAGAGTCAGGCTAAGGCCAGAACAGGTCTTGAATGCCAAACTCAGGAGCTTGGTGTTGTTCTGTAGAATGTGGCAGGCTGAGGAGGTCCTTGAGCAGGCAAGAGTGGAGGTCTGTTTAGTTTTAGCAAGGTCAGAGAGCAGTGGGAGGTACAGGGGAGCCTGTTAAGGTGTTTTGTTTTGTTTTGTTTTGTTTGAGATGGAGTTTTGTTCTTATTGCCCAGACTGGATCCCAATGGCACAATCTTGGCTCACTGCAACCTCGGGCTCCTGGGTTCAAGTGATTCTCCTGCCTCAGCCTCCCAAGTAGCTGGGATTACAGGCATGCACTACCACACCCAGCTAATT